ACGCAAGATTCTATACTTCTCCATCAATCCAAATATGCCCGTGATCTTCTACGCCGAGCTGGGATGTCCGACTGTCATCCGGCTATTACTCCTATGGCTACGAGACCTATCACTAAGCCTTCGTTGCCTTTCAAGGATATTTCTCATTTTCGGAGCATTGTTGGCGGTTTACATTAATCGAGTGTCTCAGACTATGCACAACCCCACCCAGCAGGACTATCATGCCTTGCAACGCGTTCTGCGCTATCTCAAAGGCACTTTGAATCATAGTCTTCTTTTTCGCAAGGGGGGATTCGACCTATCTGTCTACTCTGACTCTGACTGGGCCAATGATAAAGATGATCGCAAGTCTACCACGGGCTACATACTCCTACTCGGTCCTAATATCATCTCTTGGTGCACGAAAAAGCAGACTCGTGTTTCTAGATCATCCACTGAAGCTGAATATCGAGCTATGACTGCAGGGGTTGCAGAAGCTATGTGGCTTCGATATATCACTGATGCACTGGGTATTCCTCCGTCCAAACCGAAGTTATACTGTGACAATGAGTCGACTATCTGTGTCACCAAAAATCCGGTTCTTCATGATCGCATGAAGCATGTGGGCACAGACTGTCACTTTGTACGAGATGAGGTTATGGCAGGCACTATGAGTCCACATCATGTTTCCTCCTCAGAGCAGCTAGCAGACATTCTTACCAAACCGCTTCCGCCAGTTCCTTTTGAGTACTTATGTTCCAAGCTGCCCCTCGTCTCCGTTGATCAGCTTGCGGGGGGATATTAGGAAGTATAATTAAATTAGGATACTTCTTTCCTTTCCTACTAGGATTATTCTTTCCTTTCCTACTTGTACTTTGATTACTCTTGTATTCCCTATATATAGGGCCATATCTCTCAATATTCAATAAGACAAGTTATTATCAAATTGTATCATAATCCAATCCAAGAACTTATTTGCACATTACTTTCTTCAAATTTTCTATATATGTGCAATACTTTTTTACACTTGAACATGAATTTCCCCCTCTCCAACGCCTAAAGCATGATATATAAATCACTGACCGAATATGAACTTTCACACGAAGAATCGATAGAATGAATAACAATCATTTTCCATATAGACAACTCGAATAAAGATCACGAGCTGCAAGAAATAAATTTCTAGACGAATAGTTTGACAAAGGAGTTTGCTAAAATCTTTTCTATGTAATCTAAAACCATTCCGTCAATAATGAAATGAGAGGACGGAAGTATCAGAAGAATAAGATAAGGGCAGTATGTTCCCAATAAGAAATCTTTCAAAAATTTGCACTGACAAATGATGATGTGTATCCAAACCTCTTTTTATGGTGAGCCAGCTAGCTCACGCCACCTAGCTCGTGGCGACGTACATTGCATGGGCATGCATGTTCTGTCTGTCGTGTAAAGAGCCGTCCATTTGCACATTTTTAGGTTTGGTTTTCATGTCAAGGTCACACGCACTTGTCTCTTTCATAACCATTTGTTATGGCGGGGTTTGAGCTACGACTTTATATGGTGCCACGTAAGTGTCCCACGATGTCAAGGTCACACGCACGTGTCTTCTTTCAAGCGTTCTAAAAAGAAAATAAAATTTTTTTTGAGAGAAGAAAGTATATACTGATCAATATGTATTATGCATGAAAGAGACATTTATTTAAATAGCACTAAAACATAATAATTTTCTCTAAATATCACCACATATGTTTTTCTTTCCAATGTAGAATTTTTAGTCATTATGCATTAGTCATTATTCAAGTAAATATTCATCATTACTGAACATTATTAAGTGTTATTTAGGAAATAAAACAATTTAAGTGCTATTTAGGGAAATGACTTAAATTTTAGTACTCCCTCCGTCCTATAATGTTCTTCCTAGTTTTATTTACGAGGTTTGACCGACTTTATTTTTAAATCAAATTATTTGATTGTAGGTGTAAAATTTAAAAATAAAATTTATATATTTAAAACTACATGAAAAGTTCTACAAAAAAAGTGGTGACAAGACTATATTATTTTATCAAATAACTAATGAAAATAAGAAAAGAATGTGGTTAAAGTTTGACCGTGTGAAAAGTAAGTGAGAAGAACATTTTAGGACGGATGAAGTACTATTTAGTGCAAATATTTCATTATGAAAAAAGGATGAGCTTTATCTAGGGGTGGGCGCGGTCTGTAACGGTCCGTGATATCAACGGAACCTATCACGGACCGCTCTTATTTAAACGGTTCGGTATCGGTACAGTATGAATCCTAAAACCATTCGGTACCATTCCATTTCGAAACGGATTGGTACAATACCATAAACATGTTCAAACCGTGCCAAAAAAATGAACAAGCATCACTAAAAAAAATAATTAAATAAAAGCATAATTCTGTATATAAAAGCACAGTTTTAACTTGTTAAATAGAAGTATTGGTTTCAAATTTAAAACGACCAAAAACATAAAAAATAAAACATGACGAGTTTAATTTTTTTAAAATAGATTTTTTTTCAATTCATACAATATCAGACTATTAATAACTCTAAAAAAATAATTGTAATAGTAGCAATAAATATAATTTCAACAATATAATTTCAAAATAATGGTACTCCCTACACCCATTAAATTTTTTACACATTATTTATGCTCCCTACGTTCCAATAAAAGGTAATTGTACTTTTGACTTAGCACATAGATTTGAAAAAATAAAATTGTCATTATAGGAGATGTAAAGAAGAAAAATTCTAAAGAGGATAATCAAAAAAAGACATGAATTTTTTTAGGGGAATTTACGTAAATAACACTAAAGCATACGGAGTAATGACTTTTCTTAAATAGTATTCCTCCATCCTAAAACTTTCTTCCCTTTGCGCAAAACGAAGAAAAATTCCAAGTTTTTTCAATCTATTTTATTTAAATATTGGTATAGAAATAAAAAATAAAACATACATATTTAAAAACTACATCAAAAGTCCAACAAAACAAGTGGTGACAAGAATATTTTATTTTATCATATAGGCCATGAAAAAACACAAATAAATATGAATTTCCGTGAAGTTGAAATAGTGCTCCGGGAAGAAAGTTTTAGGACGAAGGGAGTATCACATCTGTTTTTTTTCCAATGTAGCACTTTTAGTCAAATTATTCAAATAAATGTTTCCCAAAACTAGACATTATTAAGTGCTATTTAAAAAAATGACTTAAGTTTTAGTGCTAGAGTATAATGTTTAATTGATGGTATTTTCAAAAGTAACCTCCTTGAATAGAAATAAAACTTAACAAAAATATCGAAGATTGGTGTCAAAGAGTGAAGTTTTTGCACCTAATACTTGTAGAAGTCTTATACTTCGCATAATAATCTCCCAGCGCAGTTTTACAAGGAATCAAACTCAGATATACCTTGTTAACACTTTCTCTCTTTGTTAAATGTGCACTTGTGACTAAAATTAGGGAGTATATTCCATATAGACATATAGTACTCCATAAAAAATTGTCCAAAAAAAAACGGAGTAAATTAAAGTTGCTCCAAGGTAAGTCTGGAAAGGTAGGTAAGTAGGTATAGTAGGTTGGCTGTCCGGGGCAAAAATGTCACTTTCACGCAAATAGTTCATCTTCTTTCTAAATCACTCTTTTTTCTTTTTTGGCAGAGACTCGATCAGTTAAATGGCAATTTCAAGAAAACCAAACTCTACTGCCTCATTCATAATTACTCCTATCACTCATTACTGCCTCTAGCTACTGCGTAGGCACTAGCAGTGCTCTAAAGTCTAAAAATAAATAAACTTACCCGTTCCCTAAGGCACTCAAAATACGTTTCAAGCCCCGAGGCTTTAAACTTTTTCTCTCTGTCACGTCAGTTTTAACTTACACTCGAAATTTACTAGAAACGGGTTTGAAGCCCCGGGCTTCAAACTGGAGATTCAAACCTTCATTTTTTACATGTTTAAATATACATCTTCTAAAATTATATTGAAACACGAATAATAAAAAAAATACATTCATTAAATAAAAAAAGCGACAATAATAAAAAAAGATACATTAATAAAAACTTTAAGGAAAATTATATTTCTCCTTGATCTCTTTTATTCTTTGCTCGTAGAGCATTCGTCCAATCTCCGAACCTTTAAAAATGTATAACACAATTTTTTTAGACATGATTAAATATAATATATATAAATAAAAATATAAATATATTAGAAAAAATCATTTTTTTACAAATGATAGGATGCTCGGAGACGTCAACCCAAGCCGACGCCAATAAGCACTCCTCCTCCAGCGTCCACTTTTGGATTGATTGTGCCGCCTCAGTCATCGTGCCTTTGGCTTTGTGGCTTTTTTGGCGTGTACTTTTTTTTGACCCGGTCGGTTCCGGTTGAGTCTCCAGAACCGAATCTCGCTCGACGTACCCCGATTGTTGCGTCTCGTAGATCGGTGGTCGATCGCCCCACTCTTGGTACAACCACATCGCGGCGTCGCTCGGCGGGACATCGTCGGGAAAGAAGCCGGAGCCGGAAGGATTCATGTTGAAAAGAGAGGGGATGATTTCGAAATTATGAGAAGAAGAAGATTGAAGAAGAGTGAAGAAGGAAGGTGTGAGAGATTGGGAGGGGGGTTTGAATTTATAAGGAAATTTTTTTTGGGTTCAACGGCTATTATTGGCGTTAAAGGGGCAGGGGAAGAGAATGACGAAGCGTCATTCCATTTACGTAGGCCGTTTCAAGCTCGGGTAACGCCACCGGGGGCGGTGTTTAACGCCCCCGGGGCGTGAAAACAACCCTAGCAGCCTCTCAAGACCAAATTGAAACTAATAAACTATAATTACCCTTTCACAATCTTGTTTGGTCGTGGTGTGGGCACCCGTAGTGGGTGTTTCACCTTTTACTAAATAAGCCTACCTAGTTTGGTTGTTAGAAAAAAACAAGTACTCCGTATTTCATACGAAGTAATAAATCATTTTTTACCACTTTATAAATATATAGAAAAATACTCTATTTTACATGATTAAATTTTATTTACTTTTTAAATATATTTTTACTAATTTCATTATACATGATATAACATAATCATGTCATTTTTTAATTTATAAATTTTTTTATCTAGTTTTAAATATATAAATTTAATTTTTGAATCTTACACTTAAATAAAATAAAATAAATTAAATAATAAATATAAATTCAAAAACCTTATATATATTCTTAAAGAATAGACCTAGGCAAGCAGGGCTCTTGGCTCACACTTAAATTGAATCCGCATATTGGACATGCATGGTAGTTAGAAAGGTAATGTCGTGTTACGACGAGCAATATGTAAGCCCTTGTAAAAGTAAAAATGTTTGACACCAAGTGCTTGACATTAAAGAGTAATGACTTCACAAGAATGTACTGATAATGGTTGTCTATGTCTCATAGACAATGATCATTTGTATATATCTTTGAAATACTAAGTGTATACCTATGGTGAACAACTTGAGGTACAACCCTTGGTATACACCTAGAATGGTTGTTGAAAATTTGATATCCGGATTATATTTCAAAATTACTATGTAATCAATTCAGTTTTGTACCATTCAATTCACTTCAGTTCATCTTGATCTCTACTTTTAGCTCATCAATATTCAATTTAGTACATTTTAGCTTAATAAACTTGGTTAGAAAATGCAGCATACCACAAAGTAACCAAATTTTTCTTTGGCAATACAGACACTTCTCTTGATTTCATTTATTCTTTTGTTGATGTAAATGGTGCTGGCATGGAGAGAACAGATTTAGAAGAAAGGGAATGGTCTCTACACAAATTTTGAATGCTAGCCATCCAACCCAAGAATCACACCTTTGATTGGACCAAATTTCTCACCCATTACCCCGCCCTTTTGTTTTTGAAATTGAATATACCGCAACGTGCTGGCAAAGAAAGCATCATAAGCTGGATTCGCCGTTGTGTTGTCGTTCTGCATCTCTGTCTTGATCAACTCAATAAGGCCTTGAATTGCAGCAGTGGTGATTTGAGGATTTCCCTTTTCAAAAAAGTGTAGGTACCTGTTGGAACACACAGAAATGACATTTTTTGGTGTAAGAAAAATGACACCATATCGTAAACCACATTCTGAGGCACATCCTTCCAGAACAAAAAAGGAAAAAATGCAGCTTGCCGCACTGGTTTTCTTTACTAACTTGTTTAGAATTTCAACAAATAGCGTGACGGGCCCACTGCTGCCTCTCGTAACATTTGCCATCTGCTGAGCAGCATTTGCAATTCTCAAAGAGCGCTTTAAGCACAATAAAACCCTGCATAATGACAGGAGCTTCAGGTATTGTAATTGCAAGTAATTTTGTAAACAGTATGCGGCATCAGTCAAGTAACAAATAGTCCTCTTAACAAAAGGTTTTCGTAATTAACTGTTCTTAAATTTTATAATTTGATGAGAGTAAATGAGAACCACCATACTATTCAGGCTTACCTCTCACCATCCTTGATACCATCTTGATCATCAACCCAAAAGAGATGTGAACAAGCATAAACTGCTCTGCATTGATCAGGTTTCTTCAGAAGCTTTGCTGAATACTATAGCACAAAACAAATCAAAGCATTAGACAGCGAGAGAGCAGCAGAGAATCTTAGATTATGTAGTTTGACTACCCCAGTGGCTTTGTGAGTTAAGGTATCCCTGTTTTCAACGCCAAAAACATTCATCCGCTGAAGAGTTCCAATTATTAAGTGGATAGCAGTCACTTGCGCTTTAGAATCCTAATATTGGAAAGGGGAAAGTGCGGAGATCAGGAAAACAATGTCACATAACTCTCAAATATTTTCAATGACAATGAATTTCTCTGATTCGCTGAGTAATTACCGCAACTTCTTCCTCGTATAGTACAAATGCTTGAGTGAAAAATTCATAAGCAACTGGTTCAAGATCACAGTCATTGGCAGCCTGAAGAATGAGGCAATTTTTTGTAAAACCAAAAAACTAAACAAATATTTAACATAACTTGCAGGGTGAACATGTTTTCATTATATTATGACAACAAATGCTAAGCGATATTAGTGGGAAAACATTCATTATATAAAGAAAGTTACACCGGGTAGGCAGGTCCAACGAAAAACTGGCTGGGTTGAGATCCTCATTAATCTTTAAAGAATGTATCTCTACATGAATATTGAGTGTCTTTGAAGAATATTAAAATAACAAGTTGTAAGTTGCTAGTGTATATCAAAAGCATGTTAATCTGACACAGCATTTACCTATGATCCTTCATGATGAAAATCTAACATGACCCTTGATGCAAGTATAGCAAAACATTTGCAGTATGTTTGGTTCAAAGAATTTGAAAGGGAAAAGAAAAAAAATTGAGATGGAAAATAAATTTTCTTATTTGGCTCGAGAGGAAAAGAAAAGAGAAAAGTGGATGGAAGAGAAAATGAAAAGGCAAAATATACAAAACCAAATTCCTCCCATTTTAGCAAGGAAAATGAGAGAAACTCATTTTCTTTTCTTTTCCTTCCTAATTCCTTGAACCAAACATAGTGTTGGTAAATTATGCACCTCTGCACACTGCAAGTACAGCCTCAATGCCAGCTCGGGAGATGGAACTGCTGAGAGAGCCTCAATGATCTGGATAAAAAAATTGACAAACAATTTGAAAGAGAAAAAAAAGATGGAAGACTGTTAAGAACAAAGATAGGAAAAATGTAAGGCTCCTCCAACCATTTTGCCTTCATAAACTAAATGGCTTAGATCTGTGCAAAGACAGATGTATAAGATACAATGGTAGGAAGCAGAATACTTGCAGCATCATGTAGTCATTCCAACAAAAGCAAGAAACTCTGCCTGTTGCAGCAACAATTCAAAAATTGCCCTTTTAAACACCTGACATTCCGACCACCCCCTTTACCCCTTACCATGCCCACTGTCAAGGGTAGTTTTAAATATTTCATAGGCGGACATGTGGAAGGTTTTGGCAGGTGCATGA